TATAAATGCAGTAGGTTTAATGCAATCCAATGAATATTTTAGATCGGCCCAATTCACTGTCTAGATCGTTCAAATTTGTTTTAATTTAGAGAAATTCTAATTCAAATCTGGTCCATTGACATCTATGTTCTTATCTTCTATCAATAGACCAGATATTGGCTCAATCCAATATAAATTCATTACAGATGGCATCTAATCCAAAACTGGTCCATTAGCACTCCTAGTATAAACTATAGACTATAGTAGGCTGCAAAGCACCTGTACAACAGCCCTGTTGATCAACTCAAGTTTTCAACTGCATTATCAGTTCTTCCTCACAAACTAACAAATAAAAATAAATGAGAAGAAGAAGAAGAAACTCAACTGGCTGATGCACTAATATAATTCAGTTCTGAGTGTATGTGTCTGTGCATGTGTGGCTTGTGATTACACAATCTCTTAAATCTTCTCTATAGCTAGGGCTGTCAGTTGGTGGGGTTCTGGGCTGGGTCAGAGTAGAGCCTGATCCCAAATTGATTAAAAACAGTGTGTCCTTATAGGGACAATCGGACTATATATATAAAACCCAATTATAACTGAAAAGCCTTTGCGCTCTCTCTCTCTCTTTTGTCAAAGTATCTTAGGGTCCGTTTGGTTTATAGTCGGAATCAGAATCGAAATGATCTATTCCTATAGTCTGTTTGATTCAGACAAGAATAAGAATGAAAATTAAAATCACCAAGAATGGGATTTCATTCCCAAAAAAGGGACAGGGCAGGGAATGACCATTCCCTCAAATGGGAGAATCCCATTCCAGCAGGAATAAAAATGGGATTTCAATTCCACTCAACTAAACAGTTGGAATCGGAATAACCCATTCTAATTCTTACTCCAGACCCTTATTCCTGCAAAGCAAATGGAGCCTTATATCTCATTTACAAAATGATTATAATAGGAAATTGCTAAACATAGATATATTTGGGGACCCAAAATATAGCTGAAAAACCTTTGTTATAGTGTTGAATATGTTTGGGTTTGTCAGCTGGAAACAGACAATTGACAATCTATTACTGCACACATATAAAGAAGATTTGAGTGCCCCAAAATTAGATTTTATCCTCCATTTGTTGACATTATGAGTGATCATTGAAAATTGGTTCTTTGGTGCAAAACCTAACCACTCGGTTCATGTATAGTTGGTTGGATGGACACATCTAAGTGATTTTTTATGCAGAAAGTAGTATGGTTGGATGATCTTTGAATTTTGATTGTTTATTAAATTATCTTGTTTAATAGTTAGGGTTGATTTTTTTCATTAAAAAGGAAAGAAAGAAAGAAATTAAATAATCAAACAGCTAATTTGAATAATGACTTTGATTAAATATAGGATCCCCACCACAGGCACGGGGGATCCAGCTAGCAGTGCTCTATCTTGATGATGAGTCTTGAATACAGCCAATGTATAACAGTACAAAGGCCATGAACATTAAATGGGTTCCACTATTTGCGTGGTTCATTGATTCCTTAATTGACTCTTTGACTGTTAAATACTGAATGCTACCAACTATTTTTATTCTTCCAAGTCAAATGACGACTGACGACTCTTTAGCACTTGACTCTACAAAACAACAAACCAAAAACAAATTTAATATATCCATCAATAATTTGTATCAGGAATGCTACTATGCTAGCAACAAACTCCATTAACACCTTTGTTTTTTGAATTCAGCGCCCTATAGATGGTGGGACATGCCTTTATTTTAATGGATTTCATCTTGTATGCAGGGAGGGATTGGAATTCAAGGTGTAGTTGGCTTGACTTGTTCATTTATCTCTTCTCTTATTCTTCCTAAAACCCTAAAATTGAAAGCTCCCCCCTTAATGCCCATATATCCAAAATCTTCAAGGATAAATAAAAATTACCTCTATTAATTTTATTATTTACTTCAGTTTGGATTATTCTAATATTTAGATCTATTTATTGTTTTATATCCAAAGTGGATTTTATTAGATGTCTTAGAAATTTTGTATATATTATAAGTTAATTAATCATATTAAACTTGATGAACAAATCAAATAGAAAAGCAAAATTGATGGTTGAGGTCATCACATCATGGTGATCCTATGTGATTCACATTCTTATTAACAAAGTGCAAGATATAAACAGCTATATAGGGAACAGTCTTAAATAACCTTATTTAAAATCAACATTTTTTTGCATAAAAAAAGAAAAAAATCTTTTGTAGGGGGGAGTATCCTTTTTCACCTCATTTATGAGAGAGTCTTATTTCATTTCCACCAGCCAATTGGTGTCAGTTGAACCAATTGATGGTGGCTTTGTAGTTTCTTGTTCACCATGGTTTTCAAAATCGGACTGGAAAAATTGGGAATGGTTATTTGACTGGTTTCGTTTTTTCTTAAAATTGCTTTTTTCCTTAAAATCGTTGATTTTAGTCAATAAATCGCTAAATCGGTTAATTAATCGTTCGAACAGTTTTAATCGTTTTTCAATTTTTTTTATTTGTCAGAACAGGCCAATCGTTCGGATCAGACGATCGGACTGCTCCAACTGGTAACCGGACCCCTGACCAGTTCAGTCACCGAGTCGATTTTAAAAACCATGAAAAAAAATATGCTGCATGATACCATAAAGGCTTGGACCAATTAAAATTCCCCATGATTGCAGACGATGGGCTAACCCTATCGTCTAACTCCCCCTTGATTCGGGTCGCCGAGTTTTCGCCTTCCGCCAACGTTCTCCCTTCCTCCCAAACACTTCCTTTCTCAGTCCCACTACTATTGCCGGGACACACGCTGGAAACAGAATGCTGGGTTTCCCGGCGCGAGTTCCTTCTTGACTGCTGAAACTCCTCTCTCCTTAGTGACTTTGGATCGTCAATTTTCCTTGAACTTTTCTTTTTCTGATTGTGTGATTGGCTTGCTTCGGATCAGAGATCATCCGAGCAGCGGGCCATATTGTACCTTGGCAGAACTTGCTTCTCCTATCAGTTTCATTGTCAATACGCTCGTCCATATCAGCCTTGAAAGTGCAAGCCTCGATCAAATGACCAATTCTGCCACAGAAAAAACAGAATCTGAGCAGCCTCTTATATCTGTAAGAGACATCGATTATCTCACCATTTAGGAGTTTGTATTTCCTTTGTTTAACCAGCTCCTTGTTAATACCCATCTTGACTCTGATTCGAATATATTTACTCCAAAGCTCAGCCTCCTCCAGTTTTGACTCACAAGGTTTCTCCACTTCAGCTGTAAGCTTCATGCCGACATTGAAGGTGAGGTAATCAATGGCGAGACCATAGATTTGAATCCAATAGTCAATAGAACCCAATCTGTATTTCTCCGGGGGCTTATCCGCACGACATCTCTCAATAAAGATAGCATCGTCATTGAAATTCTAAGGAATAATTCCCTGGCCTCTCTAGATTTGCATCTTACAAGATAAGAATCCACCACAAACTATGTAATTTCTTTGTTGTCTTTAAGCTTCCAAGCTTTCACCAGATAATTTTTTAGCCCTGCAACACGAACCTGTTTATTTGATAGCACTCTAAAAACCAATGACATCCTCAGCTTTTGCCTCGAAGATCTTTCCTTCGTCTTCTTTCAACACGTCGTCCATAGATTTCTTCTGTAGGGCCGCCATCTCTTAGTCACAGAAACTCAGAGATAGGTGAAACTAGTAAGAGCAAGAGACAACTCTTGGTGAGTATGTTGCGGAGCCAAACTTCCCCGACTGGATTTTTTAGAGTGAGCTGTTAATAATTCTATCTATTGTATCTCAATAATAGCCACTCAACAGAATCAATGCCATTACAATGTTTCTTTTATCACATTAAATAGGGCTAAACCTTGTTTGTATGGTCCTTATCCATCATTCTAATCCCTAATTACAAGTTAATGCAATTATCTCCTGTTGGTCAAAAATTGTTGTTTTTGTATATATTTGGCATCGATGCCAGAGATGCAGAGAAAACGGTACTGTTGATGTGTGGTTGGAAACACCATTTTCTCCGAAAATGGTGTTTTTATTTTTGTTTGGAATCGTTGCTGTCAGGTAGGATGTTTCCTGGAGCAATAATAACTTTTTTTGTTTGGTACCAATGCTCTAGTAAACGTTTTCAGCATCGGTACCCATTATCCAATGCCACATCACAGTCCTATGTTGCTCCAAGCTATGACTTCTTGATTTCTGAGACATGACTTAGAGCACTATTTTTTATAAAAAAAAAAAAAAAATCTAAACAAATGTCTTTTTCCTGGAACACCATTTTTTCCAATGTAAAGTTGATGACTCCGGAAAACGGCAACGATGCCAAATAGACGCTTTATTTGTATTGGATCAGTGGTTGGTATTGGCTCTAGGCTTAGGGAAGGGAAGGGGATGATGGGAGATGGAGAAAGGATTTGGAATCCATGTTGTTGTTAAGAGGATTACACTCTTTTGATCTTTTACACATGGGCACGGAGGAGCCGAGGATTGATAGAATATGTTGTGTTACAAGTTATTAATTGCAGCCACTGAACAATATCAATGCATCAAAACCCTATCTATGTATTAGAATTCTTCCTTTTTTTTATCTCATCAAAGTGGGCTATCACACTATGGCCCTAATCCATCATTCTAATTCCAACAAAAAGATTCCAATCCGGTGAGTCTAACCCACATACAAACATCACAACTAGTACAAGTAGATTCCTATCTAGCGATGGTGGAACAACATTCACATATAAAAAGAAACAGAAAAGAAAAGAATAAATATAAAGAACCGAAGATGGAAAGGTTAGAAAAGGACTCAAAAGGTTGACTTTTCACCCTTCAGAAAAACGCTTCCTCTTCCACTGAAACAGCTCCACGTGTTCGCGGGCAGCATTGACGGATTAACTGGCGTTATCGGTTTCTGTCAACCGTAGTTAAGGTCGCATTTACCCCGTACGGTAACTAATTATTACCGAGAGTTATGGTGGGGTGGGGAGAGTGAAATTACAAAGACAGAGAGAGAAAGAGGGAGGAGAGAAGGAAAGAAGAGTGGAGACTGTGAGTCGGTCTCAGAAATTCAGCAACCAGACAACCTATAATCTTGCTTCAACTTCTCCGACTTCTCCATTTCCGAAAAACACCGACACCGGTATTTATTTTCTCTCACTCTGCTTTCTCTTTAATCGAATTATTTTCTTCTTCTACATCTTTGCCTCTTCTTTTTCATCTTTTCGAGCTTCGATGGCGGTTTTGGAACTCAAAATACTTCTAAGTTTCTTCAACCTTTCAGGAGAAATCAATCGTTGAGGTATCAGTGCTTTTATGCGATTCTGGTTCATATTCTCGATCTGGGTTTTGGTCATCTTTCTTTTTTGGGTTGGTTTTATTTACTGCATGCTTTGGATTTGGTGATTCTAGCTAGCTAGAGGATTTTTCGGGCTTATTCTTGGGATCGTCCCACTCTTCTATAAATCCTTTTTCTTCTTCTTCTTTTCAGTTTACTCAGTCTAGGTGGATTGCTATTGTTTAAAGATCTGCTCGATCTTTCGGAGCGATTCCAGACTATTTCCTATTTGTTTTGGCTAATTTTGGAGGCTGTTTTTTGGGTTCTAAAAGCAGTAACCTTCTTCAGTATGTAACCGTTCATGTTTCGTTTCTGGACAAAAAGAGAACCGCAGGTCTGCTTCGATCGAGTGATGCAAAAAAGAACATAACAACATCTGATAGTATCTTTTCTGGGTTAAGTTCTGGCTGGGAGCAAGAATGTATGGCGGAGGAGATTGTCAGGTTCTGTCATCGATAGGAGGAAACGTAGTCTCTTCAGACCCACTCTTCTCGTCGCCGATCCGAAACTCTAATCTCAATTTCATGTCAAACCTCCCTTTCCATCCTTTCTCTGCCATCATTCCGGTAACTTTCCTTACTTGCTCGAGCAAAATCAGTCAAGTCCCCTTTCCACGATTTCATTCCATGCTAAAATGTTCCGGCCAGAAGGCTAACTGGGTACATTTTGCTTTGTTGCAGAAAGAAGAAGTCGAGGTGGTTAGAGGGAAGGAGGAGGAGATGGAGAGAAGCGGGTCTGGTAGTGGGCATGTAGAAGGCGTCTCTGGCGATGAACAAGAGAACAAGCAGCAGCCTAAGAAGAAACGTTATCACAGACACACTGCTCGGCAGATTCAAGAAATGGAAGCGTAGGATTTCTCACTCCAAGTCTAAACCCTCATTTGCTATCTTACTCACTTTAGAACCTAAACTTCTGCTTCACTCACTGGCTATATATGTCTTTGTCTCAGGATCTCTTATTCTTCTGAATTATATAATTGTTTATTTCGTTTGTTTCTAGTACATATTTTTTACGTTAATGTTGTGGATTTAGTCTATTCAAGGAATGTCCGCACCCTGACGACAAGCAAAGGATGAAACTAAGCCAAGAGCTCGGTCTCAAACCTCGCCAAGTCAAGTTCTGGTTCCAGAACCGGAGGACACAGATGAAGGTGCGCACGTTAGCATCCTACTTCTCTGGTTTTTACCCTAACCCTAATTCACCTTGTGATGTTGCTATACTGTTGACACACGCAACTTTGATTTTCGAGGACGGATTTAAGTGCTTACGTAGAGGTAGAGCTACGCGTTAACTATCAACATATGCGCACTGTAGAGAAAAAGCGCATTTATTCTGGTTGGAAAACTCCTTAAATACACACTGGGGAGCGCAATAAACCCTACCTGTTCATGTCTTTCCTCAGTTGCAGAACCAGTACTGTAAGCTGTAAGGTTCTTAGCTGTGGAGTCCAGCCCAAACTTTTAAAGAGTTCTCTCAAGGTTGAAGAATAAAATACACTAGTATGCGTAGGATAAGACTTAAAATCCCATATTAATAATATAGACTATACTATTTGTTTTCTTTTTTTATCTTTCTTCTTCCTTCATTAATCTGTTGTTTCTACCTCTCTGGTATATATAACAGGCTCAACAGGACCGAGCAGATAACGTGTTACTTAGAGCAGAAAATGAGAACTTAAAGAACGAGAACTTCCGCCTGCAAGCAGCCCTGAGAAATGTTATCTGCCCAAACTGTGGAGGTCCAGCCATTCTCGGAGAGATGTCCTTCGACGAACAGCACCTTCGCCTTGAAAATGCCAGACTCAAAGAGGAGGTATTGCCCTGCTGCAGACTATCTGAACGTAATTATGTAAACAATTAATCATTTCCAAAAATCGTTGTTTGCCTCGTAGACAAACAGTGGAATTGATCATCAGCTTCGTATGTATATGGATGGGTTCTCGCTATTCAAGTCATTTACAGTAGCTTCTGTTGATTCGAAAATAAATCAAAATTAAAAATTGGCTGGGCTTTCTACTTTTGCAGCTCGAACGTATCACTTGCGTCGCTTCACGATACAGTAGCCGGCCATTACAAGCACTACCACCGGCGGGACCTCATCTTATGCTGCCCTCATTGGACCTTGATATGGGCATCTACTCGAGGCATTTCCATGAACCTATAAACAACTGCACTGACATAATTCCAGTACCCCCAATGCTGGAGAACCAATTCATTGCAGCTGGGGGCTGTATGATCATGGAACAGGAGAAGCCTCTAGCTCTGGAACTTGCCATGACAGCCATGGATGAACTATTAAAGATGTGTCATGCGACTGATCCTCTCTGGGTTCGAAGCAGCAATGGTAGCAAGGAAGTTCTCAACCTAGAAGAGCATGCGAGAATGTTTCCATGGCCACTGAACGTCAAGCAGCAAAGTAGTGAGTTCAGGACGGAAGCCACTAGAGATAGCGCTCTCGTTATAATGAACAGCATCACTCTGGTGGATGCATTCTTAGATGCTGTAAGTCCCGATTTAAATAACTACGAACTTAGACGCTGTTTGAAGGTTTAATCACTTCCTTGTGAAGTAAAATATTTGAGGCAGGCCGCAAAGATTGTTTTTAATCCCATTTCTAGCTATGTTAATCAAATATTAATATTTATTGAATTGTTGTCATATGTTCTCTAATAAAAAAAAAGGAAAATCCAAATTAGATTTTGAGCTTAACTATTTGTACTCTGTCTTTTCGCACTCTAATTCAAAACTTCTTCTTTGTTTATTTTCCAGAACAAATGGATGGAACTGTTTCCGTCTATTGTGTCTAAAGCAAGAACTGTTCAGATTATAACTTCTGGGGTTTCTGGCCATTTAAGCGGTTCCCTTCACCTGGTAATTGTGATCCTAATTTTATTTTATTCTTTAGCGTAAATTTGTTCTTTTTAAAATATGATTTTTGAAGTCTTAACCTTTTGTTTTTTTTGTTTTTTCTTTCGGGTAGATGTATGCAGAGTTGCAGGTTCAGTCACCCTTGGTGCCAACGCGAGAAGCTCATTTTCTTCGTTACTGCCAACAAAATGTGGAAGAGGGGACTTGGGCAATTGTTGATTTCCCTGTTGATAATTTCCATGACAATCTTCAAACTTGCTTCCCCAGATACAGAAGACGACCTTCTGGCTGCATTATTCAAGATATGCCAAATGGATACTCAAGGGTGACGATCCAACCTTAACATATTGTTTTTTTTTTTAAACAAAAAAAAAACACTGAATTTCTGTTGATTCTCTCAATGTAAGTCATTTGTATGCATGCAGGTGACATGGATAGAACATGCAGAGATAGAAGATAAACCAGTACACAAAATATTTAACGACTTCGTGAACAGTGGGTTGGCATTCGGTGCTCAGCGCTGGTTGGCAGTGCTACAGCGGCAATGTGAGAGATTTGCAAGCCTCATGGCTAGAAATATATCTGATCTCGGAGGTGCTACTTTTCTTCCAATATGCATGAGTTATGTATACATGAATAACAAACATCTGTATATGTATGTATGCATGTATTAACTTGGGATAATGAAGCAGCTAACCTTCTTAATTTGTCTTCTTCTATGTAGTACGTCGTTACTTATCTTTGGTAGGCTTTGGTTTACTTGCAGTGATACCTTCTCCCGAAGCAAGAAAGAATATGATGAAGCTGGCGCATAGAATGATAAGAACTTTCTGCATCAATGTTAGCACTTCTGGAGGCCATTCATGGACGGCCCTCTCTGATTCAGTGGATGACACTGTTCGGATAACAACTAGAAAGAACACAGAAGCCGGACAACCGAATGGAATGATTCTTTGTGCCGTCTCCACAACATGGCTACCATTTCCCCATCACCAAGTGTTCGACCTTTTGAGGGATGAACGCCGCAGATCTCAGGTATTTTAACGATGTTGTTAATTCTTTTCGTCCTCTCAATTTCATGGAATAGAAAAGAATATAGTAGGGCCCGGCTCGAGGAGCCTCAGATAACTAATTAACGATGTTGTCCCGCAGTTGGATGTTCTCTCCGGTGGAAATTCATTACATGAAGTTGCTCACATTGCCAATGGCTCTCATCCTGGGAATTGCATTTCACTTCTTCGTATAAACGTAAGATTCTTTCCAACGCTTTTTGAATTTTTGGGATCCTTGATCAGATGCACCCGGTTTTCAATGATTCATCGGTAGCTTTTTTTTTCTTTTCTGAAAATCTAAATGCTTCGTATGCTACTGTCCTAACATGAAATCTATAACTCATCAGTAGTAGCATTTGTTAGTTGAAATAATGATGGTTAAACGATTAGAACCCATGAATCCATGCAACCTTTCTTTAGAATCAACAACTGTTTTTCTGAAGGAGATTCCCAGCAAATTGAAGGGTATTCCCAGCAAATTGAAGGAGATTCCCATCCATTTCTTATTTCTATTTCCATTATTTCTAGTCTAGAGATATGAACATTTTGGTTAATTTTGCATGCATGCAGGCATCGAGCAACTCATCACAGAACGTAGAGCTCATGCTGCAGGAGAGTTGCACCGATCCATCTGGGAGCCTCATTGTCTATACTACCATGGATGTTGATGCCGTTCAGCTGGCAATGAGCGGCGAGGATCCATCGTACATTCCCCTTCTTCCCATAGGGTTTGTCGTATTTCCAGTAGGGTCGGCCGGCGTCGGTGGAAGCATTAGCTGCAACGGGAGCGGTATACCATCAGAGGGCGCAAACGGACCATCTCCAGGCTGCTTACTTACCGTAGGGCTCCAGGTGTTAGCAAGCACAGTGCCATCCGCGAAGCTCAACCTCTCGAGCGTCACAGCAATCAATAACCATATATGCAATACTGTGCAGCAAATCAATGCAGCTCTGAGCAACAGCAGCAGCACTGATGGTGGCGTTGCGGGCGCCGGTGTCGGAGGCGGAGGCGGAGGCTCCACTGAGCCAGCTGCAGCATCTAGTTGATTGTGAAAATCACCACCGAAGTTACCCGAAGCCTCCCTCCCTCGCCATCAAAAGAACCCCACCACCCCGTTAACAAGAAAAAAAAAAGGTATTGCCACTCAAGACGTCGTGTACCCAAGAAGCAAGGAGATCGGTGAGAGGCAAATGTGATCAAATGACCATAATACCCTCCAATCAAGAAAAGGGGGGCATTATTGTCATTTGCATGCTGCTGGTCTTGCCAAGAAGAGAAAAGAATAGGGACCCAAAAGGACAAAAAAAGGACCTTGCTTCATGGGTAATGCTACCTCAATGTTATTAGGGTCATCTTCTGTTTTGACTCTCCTCTGGGTTTTCTCTTTAATGGAAAGAGATCGATGGGAGGCTTCTGGTAATTTGCAGGCGGAAAAGCAGTAGTAAATGGAAATTGTGAAGGAAAATATGGTAGAAATTAAATAATATTAAGGGGGAAAAAAAGAAAGGAATTAGATTCAAGATTGTAGTAGGGAAGTGTGTTGTGTAAAGAGAAGTGAAATGGTTAGAGGAAGTCAAGAGCGCACCAGATGAGATCCTCGCTTCCTGGTAAGGCTAATCCGCGCATTAATGTGGAATTCACTGGCTTCACCAGTATGCAAGGGTGTTGGTTCGGGAATTGACTTCTCCTTGTGTGTTGGGTCCCCTCCTTTAATTTGTTTTTCTTCTTCTTCTCTTTCCGGCCCGACTAATTGTGTTTATTCTTATTATAGTTGTTGTTCTTCTTGCTTCTTACTGTTGTCTTTCTATTGCCATTTCCATTTTCTGTTTTCTCTGTTTTAACTAAAACAGACGGACAGAGCCAGTCCGGCGACGCCAATATAGGCTTTTTTTTTCTCAAGGGATTCCCTGAGTTTGAATGCACTCCGAAAAGATGGTGGATTTAGGGAATCACTGTGAACTGGAATTGCTATATTGGTGGCTGACCGATGACCCTATTGCTAGATTGGTATCTGCCCCTTTTTTATATCTAAAAAAAACTAAACTATTCTAAAAATTATATTGAAAAGATTATTTTTATTGATATTAGTAGGGCTGTTCATAATAAGACCCAACCCGACCAAATCGACCAACTCGGACCGACCCAACCCGAGTCAGTCAGGTTTTCTTCAATACCGGTCGGTTTCGGGTAAACTGATGGTTCAGGTAGGTTTCGGTTTTCATGTGTGAAAACCATGAAAACCGAAATCGACCTGACCCGAACCGACTTAGTAGTTAGTAGTTAGTTCCTAATTAATAGTTACAACCTACTTAGTTCCTACTTAACTAAGTTGTCTCTATCCTAGTTACAACCTAACTTAATATCTAGTCTTCTAGTTAGGAATGACATTAATAGCAAGTATTGTAAGACAGCTAGACAAGTACTTTTTTTGGAAAAGTTTAAAGAAAATAATCAAAGGATCGTAGTTTCTATGGTCTTTTACACCAAATAGGCAATCAATTACAATTATAATTAGGTGTCATTTTTTACTTCGATTATAAGGTTTCTTGAAATATACAAATTTCAGTCTTCTTTCTCTAATACAGTTTGACTTTCTATTTTCTTGATAACTTCTATTCTAAATTTCAGTCTTCTTTCTCTAATACAGTTTGACTTTCTATTTTCTTGATAACTTCTATTCTAACTTGGTCCACCCCCCTTAGCCTCTCAACTCAAGCATAATCTCTAATACAATTTGACTCTCAAGCATGGTTGAACTTAGAGCCGATTCAAATCGACTAGGTTGGTTTTGCTTAACACAGGGTCGGTTTTGGTTTCAATTTTAGGTAACCCGACCAGGTCGGGTCAGTTGGAAAAATCTCAATAAACCAACCCAACCCGACCCATGAACAGCCCTAGATATTATGACCCAAAAATTGCCCCATCAACTAAAATTCCAAAGAAAAACCTATTAAAAATTAATGGAATCATAAAGCTGTAAAGTGGGCCTGGAAGCCCGTGGGCTGGCACTCCCCAGCACGACTTGGACCGTGCCAAGGTCCATGGCCCAAGCTGCATCCATTACACCCAAAACTCAGGTCAAAAGATGACTTGCAAACGGAACCATAGAGCTGTACATACCAACTCAGGTTGTGTCATGGCACATGGACCCATCCACAAGGCTTGAGTTCGATTTGAGTTAGAGACTTGAGATATATGATTTTTTTTTTTATTATTGAAGAAAGGAGTGGATAATTTTTTATTATCCTATTGGGCTTTTAGTCTTCATGGGCCCAATGCAAGTTTAAGGCGATCTCAGAATTCAAACTGTAAAGGGACCATCGTGGATGAGGTGTTGGGCCCGCACCGACTCAAAGGATAGGGTCCCGAAACTGATTGGGCCTGGGGCTAGGCCCAGAAGCCACCACAGTTGAGTGACCCGTAGGGGTGAGCACTATTCGGTTAAAACTGAAAAACTGAACCGATATTTTGGTTTCAGTTGAATCGGTTCGGTTTATTCGGTTGTTCAATCGGGTTTGGTGTTTTATCTGGTTTTTATACTTTTCGGTTTTCGGTTTTCGACTACCATGTTTTATAAATCGGTTAACCAAATTAATTGAATTAGTTTTGTAATTATATATTATTAATATTATTTATATTATAATTTATTATTTTATATTAATATTTAATAAATTAATAGATATACAATATACAATATATATCGTCGAAGAGACGAGATGAATTTGGCTATAAGACAAATTTCCTTATTAAGCAATAACATAAACATTCATATTTCCTTATTACTCACGAAAACAGTTCTAAACAAAACAGGAAAGAGACTGACTCTTCGACTACTCTTCGTCTTCTTCCACACTCCACCATCTCCACGTCCTATCCTAACTCCTGAGTCTCTCACTCTCAATCTCCTACTCTCCACTCTCCAGTTTCTTGGTCTCTCTTAAGTCCAGATGTCCAGTCGTCCACAGTTAGTCTTGCCGTCTCGGTCCACACAAAGTTCGTCGTCTAGTCATCCACAATCGGCAGTCCATAGTTTGGACTTTGGCGCTTATAGTTACAGAGTACAGAGACTCTTCCTCTTCACCGGCTCACCAGCACGACGGCGCCAGGTAACTCCGAAACCTCCTCCTCCTCCTCCTCCTCCTCCTCCTCCTTCTTCTTCTTCTTCTTCTTCTCAGAGTACAGAGTACAAAGACTCTTCCTCTTCACTGGCAAACCGGCACGGCAACGCTTGCATCCTTGCATTCTGATATTCTAATATTCTAATATCAGCAAGAATGAATGGACTTACTTGATGCTAGTTTGTTATTCTGGTAACAACAAAAAAGTAGACTATTTTGTTCCATCCTTGCATCTTGTTCCTAACGGACAAGTGATAATTTGGAAGGAAGGAAAATACCAGAATGAATGGAGTCAAGCACTCAAGCTCATGTGATATTTTGTCACTTTGTCAGTTTTTACAATTTTCAGTTTAATAAAAAAAAAAACGAATTAACTGAAAAAAATTTTGATTTGGTTTGTTCGGTTTAACCTAAATTTGGTTTCGGTTCAGTTTCCACCATTCACAGTTTGGTTTCTGAAAGTTCGGTTTATTCAGTTTGCTCACCCCTAGTGACCCGAACTACGAACCAAGCTTGCCACCTGTTTAATCCAATATCCAACAGCCCTCGTTGACCCAAGCAGCTGCATATCCGACGTCAAACCTAGAAGCCACCGAGTTTGGATCAGCTTCTCACAAAGCACACCTCACACTGACCTCACAAACCTAGTTCCACAGAAAGGAACAACATTAAAGCCTTCCCATGCAATATTCATAGCTCTACAATGACTCCCAGTACCAATATAGAAAACCACTATATTGTACCTTAGAATTCATGATATTTTAAATATGCTTTTAGTTCGAGAGCACGGAGGAAATAGGAATTCATATTATTAAAGCTTTGGGCAAATTTTTAAAGGAGCTTGCATTACCACTCTTACTATAAGGATCATCACTGTGGTATATCAAGTTCTCTATAATAGCCATAGATTAGGCTGTTTTGCACACCCTAAAGTTGTGTTCCAAAATATAAGTAAAATAAGTAAAAATTTAACAAATAAGAAGAACTAATAAGCTAACTTAAGTGTTCAAGCATTTTGCTTATATATATTCAGAGGATTTATTGCTATTATATTTTCAAAAGTAAATATTTTGAGATTAGCAAATAGGAAAACTAGGAAAGATAAGATCGGGGATGAACTTATTCGAAGAAATCTAGGAATAATTCCAATAGGTGCTAAAATGAGGGAAACTGAAGATGGTTTGATCAGATGCAGAGAAAACCAATAATAACACCAATATAAAGAAGTGGTTAGTTACAAGCCGATGGGACTAGAAGATCGAGCAAGGGGCACGCCATAAAAGAAACGGAGAAGTACGGATAGGCCTAATGCAGAATTCTGAATTTTTCTACAACTCTATAAACATTCAAAAGTTCAAAAACCCACACCCTATGCACCCATATCTGCTTGTGAATTGGCATCAATATCGAGCTGACACCTACCCCAACTGTACTTTAGGCCTATGAATTCTGACCCTGGGTTGAATGGTCATTCTCCCTAAAAGAAATAGATTGAAGCTGTGGAAAATCATTTTGAGAGATCATAGTTTAACAATGGATATGACACAGAACATAATAGAATGGAAGAGCAGGATTCATGTAGCCAACCCCATGCTAGACAGTTTTGTATGCCCTTAGCTTCAATCAGAATGATGTACTTTATGAGTTTATTGAAAATGAATAAAGATACATATTTGATTCATATTCCCTTGGTATGTTTCTGTGTAATACCCTTAAACTGGACACTTAATGAGACTCGTGCTAGTTTAG